AAACGTTGAAAAAAAAAAATTAAAAAAAAAAAAAATGAATAAACGTTAAAAAAAAAAAATTAAAAAAAAAACTTAACTTTAAATTATCACTTTAAAATGTTTTAACATTACTAAAATCATTTAAATAAAACACTTATTTACCTGGATGTTAAATAAACTGCGTTAAGAGACTCTCATTCCGATATTTGAGTCCTTCAAATCTTATTTACTAAAGCTTTATGAATGGTTAGTCAAAAGTCTGTTATCCTCAGATTTGAATAATGTGTGGGCTACCTTTAAAGTAACAATCATTGTGGCCCTCCGGGATCAGGTAAATTATTATAATTTTATATAACTACATGAACATAAAACTAAGTAAAAATGTCTATGGCTTGCAACCTTAGTACAACAATAAAATCAAAATAAATCTACAAAATAGAGATAAAACCAACACAGTTCTAATTAACATTAATTTTATCGTGAGAGATGACATTTTGCCAAAACTAAATTGCCTTTCACAGCATGCTAGTGGTCTGATGGCAGGTATGGGTTCTTTTACCTTCAGCAGGCCTACTAGCTGCCTACCAAGTGATGTCTTAGTTCTCTCACTTCTTTTTTGAGCTCTTACAAAGTCTGTCTTAGTGTACCAGCCTCTAATACCTTTTGAAGTGAATGCATCATTTGCAGGTTACATAAGTTTATATTCTTGTTAGCCTTCTAGGAAAATGTTTGATTAAGAGTATTGGTTTTGGTGCAAATCCTGGCTCTGCTGCTTAATAGCCGTATCCTGTTGGGCAAGTTGTTTAGCTTCTCTGACCACAGGCTTTTCATCTGTAAAATGGTGATAGAAATTGTACACACGTCATAGTTGTGGTGAAGAGTCAATAAAACAGTCCATAAAAACTGCTTAGCACAGCCTGGTACCTACATGTTCCATTATTTGGCATCTGCTTAGTTACGATTCAGACACGGTCCCTGCAACTGCATAGATTACTTGTTTGTGAACTGGTCCTTCAGAGCAGTGCCGTCCAATAGAACTTCATACAGTGATGGAAATGTTCTGTCTGTGCTGCCCTGGACAGTAGCCACTTCCCACATTTGACTGTTGACCACTTAAAATGTGACTAGTACAACTGAGGAACTGGATTTTTAATTTTTAAAAAATTTTAATTTAAATGTAAGCATCCCTGGTTAGTGATTAACCTATAGATAGCACAGGTCGAGAATATATTTGTACAGATGTTATATTATTATGTTGAAAACAAGTTGAAAACAAAATTTTAAATGTCTGAGAGAACTTGTGCATACCCAAGAATTTGTCAGTGGACCATAGTTTTGGAATCCCTTCAGTAATTCTGTGGTGCTTTGAAGCTGTTTCTCTTCTGCTTCTGTTCTCTTAGTTCTGAAAAAGGGTTTTTTCCCTCCCAGGAAAATTAACCTTTCAGCATTTTGTTTTTCACAGCCCATCCTGAAGCTCTTGGCAGCTGGAATATTATATAAAGGCAGTTTATCAGGCACATTCACACTTAGGCTTTTAATGAAATCTGCGTATTCCAAGCTGGCATCTCCTACCAAAGTTAACATTTACTTCTCCCAAACCACTCACAGATCTGTATGTAATACACTCATTAATGTCCATTTACCTGCAGTTATCTGAGATAATTTTGATAGCGGCTGGCCTCCTCCATCTTAGGGTCTTGAGGAAGGTTTCATTTAAAAAAAAATTTTTTTTAACGTTTATTCATTTTTTTGAGAGAGAGCGAGCAGGGGAGGGGCAGAGAGAGAGACACACACGAGAATCCGAAGCAGGCTCCAGGCTCCCGGCTCCCGGCTCCCAGCCACCAGCACAGAGCCTGATGGGGGGCTCAAACCCATGAACCGTGAGATCATGACCTGAGCCGAAGTCGACCGCCCAGCCGACTGAGCCACCCGGGTGCCCCTAGGAAGGTTTCATTTTAAAGGAAGAAATGCCCTGCAGACAGTAGATACTCATGACATTTTTTTTTTCCAGTGAAATAGTGTATGTATACAAATGTTTAATATGCATATAAAGTGCATATTCTTTTTACGTCATCATTAGTGGTTTGAAGTAAACACTGAGCTGTCTATGTATGTGTCTCTTTAAATGACTTACTTAATGTTGGTCATTATTTTGCCATTATTCTTTCTGGGTGTTAATCCATCTGCAACTCTCTTCTCTGGTGTTCTGTCACTCCATAACTTCCAAGTAGTAAACACAAATAGAAACCATCTGATTAAATTAACTGCAGAGCTCCTATTTTCAAGTGACTGTCTTCAGTTGTGGAGATTTAAGAAGAAAACACTGTGTCCCAGGGAAGGGAGGCATTCCAAAAGAAGAGGGTGAGTTCTTTGGAATGTAGGTTACAAGAACAAGAACCTTAGATGGACTTTTAATACTTTTACTTTCCTACTTATGAAGTAAAGAATTGGCATAATTAAACCCATGAATTACTTTGGTGTTGTATGCCACCATACTTCAAGTAAAAACAGGAAAGAGAGAATTTTTCTTCCAATTTATTTTATTTTTGAGAGAGACAGAGAGACACAGTGTGAGTGGAGGAGGGGCAGAGAGAAAGTGAGACACAGAATCCAAAGCAGGCTTCAGGCTCCGAGCTGTCAGCACGGAGCCCAACGAGGGGCTCAAACTCATAAACCGTGAGATCATGACCTGAGGTGAAGTTGGACACTCAACCGACTGAGCCGCCCAGGCACCCCAGGAAAGAATGACTTTTTAAATAAATTTTGTAATGAAGTTTTATGGCAAGGTCATTATGTTCAAAGGAAGAAGTAAAAATGGTGAAATGCGGTTTTTCATTTAAACCAGGAGTTATTTCATTTTGGTAATTACATAATGCTGTCTTAAATTTTTTTTTCCTCCTAAATCACTTTCAGGTTTGAATTTACACATAAAAAACAATCTGGTGGTGCAGGCCAGTTTGGAAAAGTGATAGGTGTACTGGAGCCTCTGGACCCAGAGAACTACACTAAGTTGGAATTTTCAGATGAAACATTCGGGGCAAACATTCCAAAGCAGTTTGTGCCTGCAGTAGAAAAGGTAAAAACAAAAATAACTTTCTTACATTTTTTTCAACAAGCTTATTAATAAAGGTATGAAATCATATATTTTTTAAAAGTTTTATTTATGTAATCTCTGCACCCAGCGTGGGGCTTGAACTCACAACCCCGAGATCAAGAGTTGTATTCTCTTCCGACTGAGCCAGCCAGGCACCCCTCAAATCATATTTCTTTCACATTGTCTCCCATAGTTCATTTTAGTTACAGTCCTGCTTCTTTATCTGATTGTTAAGCTTTCCATCTGATTTAGAATCTTCAATTCATTAAGTTCAAGAGCTATAAATATATGCTATGACAATGTGGGGGAAGTCATTGTTTCTTAATCATAGTTATTATATTTCTTTTGATAAATTGAACCTACCTCATTAATTGTAATCAATAATTAAGATTCCCAACATCTCGGTTCTCCTGTCATCTCTGCTACTTATTAATGTCATCTTTGGTAAATCATGGTGTTCAGAGGCAGTTTCTTCAACTGAGAGTAAATAAAATACTTAAACCTCAATCCCTCACAAACTTGAGGACCAGATAATACTCTATGACATCTCTTTGTAAATTGCAAAGTGCTTTGCACATACAAGGGGTTAGTGCTTTGTTGGCTTATCAGGTCACAGGCTTTAAGACTGTTGTAAACCTTCAGCAACTGTCTGTTCTCATAGATTGAGATTTTTAAGTTTTCATTTACCCTTTTAACTTAGAAATATTTACTAATAGATTTTAATTTTGGCTTTAGTGGAGGAAGCATTTTTTGGGGGGATCAGTGTATTTCATTCATTATACTTAATTTCAAGACAATATTTCGTCATTCTCATACTTTTAAGTTGTCTTCTATTCTCCAAGATTAATGTAGGTGAAGGAGAGCTTATATTTTTTCCAACATACAGAGTGTACAGTCTTGCAGTGTCGTAAATACATTGTATTGCATGTGCAGCCATGTGATTGTTTGCCAAGAAAAACTAACTTGAATTGGGGGAGCTCTACAAATATTTAGGTGAAATGACTGAAAAAGAATTGCAAGCTTATCAAATTATACCTTTAAAATATGTTTAGTTTATTATTTATCAGTCATACCTCAGTGAGGCTGTTTATTTTAAAAAAACTGCATTTGGAAAAATAAAATTACTTTCGAATTCTGGTTCTTACTGACGTATATAATGCTAAAGCTATAATGTCTGATCTGCCAATGAGGCACAACAGGGATGGGTGTCTGGTCGGAGCTCAGGTCATAGCTGTTGAGCCAATGCCAGTTTTGATGGAGGTACTCTTACTTGCCTTTCCTCTGTTTCCTCCTTTTAAGATTAAGAGCAGGCTGTCTGCATAATGGGTTATAACGGGTATGCAATTCCTGAAGATGGTAAGGGTTAGCACTCAGCATCATTTTTAAAACAGCTCACACCTTTAAATGATATGCTTTTCCAAGGTATTGTTCATCTAGATGCCACAGTGATAAAACTTAAATAGTGAAGGTGTTGAACTTTTTAAAACTTCTCTTTTTTTCTTGAGGGATGAAATGTAGTATTCATAAAAATGCTTAACTTCTAAACAGTAAAATGTTTGGGTATTCTTGGTAATTCATCTGCAAGTGAAATCCATTCACTCCAGAGGTTGTGTTCATTCATTAACAGGGGTTTTTGGATGCCTGTGAGAAAGGCCCCCTTTCTGGTCACAAGCTCTCTGGGCTCCGGTTTGTTCTGCAAGATGGGGCACATCACATGGTTGATTCCAATGAAATCTCTTTCATCCGCGCAGGAGAAGGTGCTCTCAAACAAGGTATTCTGAGTCCTGGCACTTGTTCCAAACTGTGTCTGTTTTCCCTGATAGACCATCAGAGCCTCAGAGGGCAGCCCTGCCTTCTGTTTCAGTCTTGTCCCCCCAGAGCACTAGGCAACCCACCAGGGAACATGGCAGGTTCTGGGCATATATTTATAGAATCGAAGTGAGGACAGGTTGCTGTGTCCTCACTTTATAGATAATCTCTAAGTTCTATCAAGAGATAGGTGTTTTAATGTGAATCATGCCTAACAAAATCTTATTTTCTTTGTGACTTAATTTCCCATTTTCCTATCAACACAATCTTTAGATTATGACAAGTTTTCCAAACCACAGATTTTGACTGCATTTTTAATAAAGAAAATGAAGGATTTTCTCTCCTATTCACAAGTGAAAAACGAAAACACAAATTATGAATGGCTTCCACTGGTTTAAGTAATATAAGGAATTAGAGCCTGGTCAAGAAATGAGTGACCTTCTCCAACCACTGCCCCACACCTGATCATAGATGCAAATGGAAGAACAACATGAAATCAAAGTCCAAAATTCATACAGAATCAATAAAACTGTGATTTATAGAATGCTTAAAAAATGTGCTATGATTTATCTGATTTTCCACTGTCCATTTTGATACTCTTTGATAAAAATATTTCTGAGATGTTTTGTGAATCATAATATAATTGCCCTGTGTTAAGACACTTATGGACATTATTAATAATGAATACAGAAGAGATGACAAAGAGAATAAACTTTCTGGGTTCAAGATACAAGTTTCAAGTTCCTTTGTTGAATAACCCTGATGTGAAATTGCTGTGTTACTTGCTTTTCTCTTTTAAAAGCAATAGATCAGGGGCGCCTGGGTGGCTCAGTCAGTTGAGTGTCTGACTTCGGCTTAGGTCATGATCTCATGGTTTGTGAGTTCAAGCCCCGTGTCAGGCTCTATGCTGAGTGCTCAGAGCCTGGAGCCTGCTTCCAATTCTGAATCTCCCTCTCTCTCTACCCCTTACCCGCTTGCACTCTCTCTCTCAAAAATAAACAAACATGAAAAAAAAAAAAGCAATGGATCAGATATATTTGCCATTGTTTAGGTTTCTGGTTCATCAGGGTTTTAATACACCTTTATTCTGTGCGAGAAAGGGTCACAATGTTAGCAGTTTTGCACAAGGTCTGCACTGTAAAGTTTACCGAGTTCTTTCAAAATACTTTGCCATCCTCAAAACACCTAAAAGCCTACAATATCATACATAAGAAAATTACTTATAAATTATGGAATTCCTGACATCTAAATAAGTCACTAAAAATAGCATGACTGTAATGTTTCTATAAAATATTTCTTAGAATTCCGATCATTTCTATTTTCCCTATTAAAAACAGAACTTAGGGGCGCCTGGGTGGCTCAGTCGGTTGAGCGGCTGACTTCGGCTCAGGTCATGATCTCACGGTCCGTGAGTTTGAGTCCTGCGTCGGGCTCTGTGCTGACAGCTCAGAGCCTGGAGCCTGTTTCAGATTCTGTGTCTCCCTCTCTCTGACCCTCCCCCGTTCATGCTCTGTCTCTCTCTGTCTCAAAAATAAATAAACGTTAAAAAAAAAAAAAAAACAAAAACAAAACACCTATCTCTTCCCCTCTAGGATGTTTATCACTTTAATATATATTAAGATAGACAAATTAGTTATAATCACTTTATGTACTTTTTTCAGCTTTGTTGCAGTATAACTGACAAAATTGTAAGATATTTTAAGTGTACACATGATGATTTGATATACATATATATTGTGATACATTCTACAACTACAGTTAAGTTAGAAATCACCAATTGTTCTATGCTGGTTCTTGACTGGAAATTGGTAGCTTTCCTGAAGATAGAATTTACCCAAAGCCAGATAATTGGTATGGTTGTCAGTTAACAACTAGCCTTATCGTCTTTTTTAATTGCTCCTGTATGAAACATAATTAAATGTAGATATATATGCCCATTGTATACACGTACATATCCATGAAAACAGTCTGTATGTGAATATTAACTAAACAGTTGAATATGTGCCATTTGCTTTTTTAATTATTTAAGTGTGATTAACTGCCTGGTGGGTGTACACTAGATGGTAATTGGGAATTTTGTTTTTGCCAGGTAAACGTGTAAATAAGCAGGATACTGGCATGAAAATTAATTACTTTGCTGTTTCCCCATCTGTTACTTAATCACCCATGACTAAAAGACAAAAGTGTATGAGGGTAAAAGGAAGTTCTTAGTTCAGTAAGAAAATCAACTTTTCATTCATATTCCTCTGTTGAATGCCATATGAGAGTTTGGGGGTGAAAACGTTAATAAATGAGCCCCGTATCAGGGTAGCTGAGGCTTATGAGCTATTCTCTATTATCAAAATTGGAAGAAAAATAATTCAAATTCTCAGGTATGTTTTCATTAAAAAAAATGAAAATTGGAACTGTGTTGAGTCACAGTTTAAACTTTGTCCCGGAGATTAATCAGTGATGTAACTAAAACTGAAATATAAAATTGGAGGTTCTGCTTGGCCACAGGTGTGACCATTGCCATCATTTTCTGTGGCCAGGTTTTAGAAAAAGAACTATGCTTGGTCTCCCCAGAAACATCACACTTGTGGCAATCTACAAGAGAAATAAAAGCCTGGAAATAAGGGTTAGCTCATTTAACTTGACAGTCCCCTTTCTTTGATCTCCTGCCCCATTATGTGATGGGCTTTGAGTTTAAATCCCAGCTCTGCTCCCCATTTACTGTGTGGAGATGTGCAAGTCATTGGAACTTCCCCCAGGCTGCTTGGAGATAGTAATTCCACAGTATTAAACGAAAGAATGTAAAATTAAATATAAGAATGTATTTGAAAACACTTGAGCATGCAGCCTTGGGCAGTGAATGCTAATCACTCTTTCCTTCATGTTACCTTTGACTTAGTACTGTGACATGCCACCCATTCCCCAGCTTCTTGCCTCAAGTGGTCATAATAACATGTGTCGATCACTTATGTGCTATGTATTATGCTGAGCGTATCTTAATGTTCACAATGACCTTACAGTTGAGAAAACCTGGGACTCAGAGCAGTTAATTGAATGGCTCAAGGTTACATGATAGTGGCGGAGCTGAGAGTTAAATCCCAGGCAAAAGTCCTAGCCTTTGACTACCGCCTCATATGGCTTCTTCAGAATCTGGCCTGGTGTTATCAGTGTTATTCCTGGTGGGCTGAAATAAAAATAATATCCTGGTGTTATTCCTGGTGGGCTGAAATAAAAATAATATGCCCCCTGCCCACCACTTCAGGCTTAAAAGTTCCCATGCTGATACTGGTGTCTTTACTTGTTATCGTAAAAAGCTGTAGACCACATACATGGATGTGCTTGAAGAAAAAAATGCTTTTAGGAGTTGGCTGCCATGTGGCTATTGAATATAGCAGGGTGAATTAGCTCCGGAGTGTTGTCACAGGGGGTTAGAAGAAGGCGTGAGTAAGGACAAGATTCTTTGGAAGTGAGTCAGCCGGTGAATTGAGGGAGGAAGAAGGGTGTAAAAGGAGAAAAGCAGGATGTGAGAATATGAAACTGAGAACTGGACAGGACATCCTCAACAATTAAGTATGGGCACTGTGTACTTAGCCCTTCCTTCCCTTTAAAACTGACCCTTTCACAATCTAGCTCTTATGTTACTCACCTATGGAAAATACTAGATAGTGTGTACTAAATCTTGTCTGCACACATCTTCCTGGGTGCCTTTTTCTGCATTAATTTCATTTATTTAGAGCCAAGGAAGCTCTGCTGTTGTGAGAACCCAAGACGTCATGAGAAATAGAGCTGTTTCTACTGCATAGAATTGTTAGTCTGCTGTTTTAGATGTCTGTATAGGGTTCTCCGGGGCTTAGATGATGGAGCTTAGGAGTCCGCAAAGTTCAGTTATTTCTCTTTTTTAGAACAAAATTCACTAATTAGGACTAATTACTCAAAGGTAGGTCTGAGCTTTGATTTGAATTAGAAAATATTTCAAAGAGATCCAAGTATATTAAATTGCCTTCCTTATAGTTATTGCACTTAAGCTAAGAGTGTCTTTAGGAGAAGTGCTTTAATTAATATACAAGAATGATTGCTAATTAATTATAAACAAATTAATGCTGGGAAAACTATGATTATCTTAAAATATTTTGACATCTTTTCTGTGTTTTGCTTAAAGTTTTTATTTAGAGATAATTCATCCAGTCTAAGGCTGAAGTAATACTCCATACTATCATAACATTAAATTTAAATATGAATGTTTGAAATTTTATTCTATTCTCTTCACATTGTTACAGTTAAACCTCAGTCGGCATTTGTCACAGTAAGAAGTATTCTGGGTACATATTAAGGGGGATAAAAAAGCAGCCTGGACACACACATTGGACATACACATTTTAATTCTTCAATATCTCTTAGCATCCAGGGTCTTTATTTTGCAGGTGAAGAAACTTGAGGCCTGGTTTCTTATTAGGGGCAGGGCATAAACTTATGAGGGGCATATAACTTATTAGGGGCGTATAACTTATTAGGGGCAGGGCAGAAACTAGAACCCTGGTCTTCTGATTCTCAATAACATGTTGAAATTGTTTAGAAAAGGAAAGACAGATCTCAGGTGTGACTTGATAATTTTCTCCAAATATATGATAAAAGTTATTTGATGATAAAAATAATCATCTTCTAGGGACCAACCATAAAGAATCAGTTTATCTGGTCAAAGACTTAACAGTTAGTTGTCTTTATTCCTGAAAGTATTCAGAGGGAGAAAATAAGTAACCCTCAACTGGATAGTTTAGATGGTAAAGGACTTGACTGAATGTTGCGTGAAGACCTCTTTTATATTATTCTCTGCAGCTTAGTAATGTTTAAGGATTAAAATAAAGTAATAGAAATAGTAGTACTATCATTATGTATTATCTTATTGGAATTTCTGTTTAGGAGAGGGACTATTACTGCTACTAGAAAAAAGTCCAGGTCAAATATTTTAACCTCGTCACTCGTGTATACCTTTGGAGGACACCCTCTATTTCCTTTTTGTATATCTAGTAGAAAAGAGTTAACCATTTGTCTAAAGGTTAATAAACTAATTTGTAAATTTTTTTTAATCCAGCTTTGGCAAATGCAACATTATGTATTCTTGAACCTATTATGTCTGTGGAAGTCATAGCCCCAAATGAATTTCAGGGACCAGTGATTGCGGGAATTAACAAGCGCCATGGGGTAATCACAGGACAAGATGGGATTGAGGACTATTTCACGCTGTATGCAGAGGTAAGTACTATTGGTCACTGACAATCTTGCTTTTAGTAACCACAGAAGGAAATGAAAGTTTGTTTTTGGACAGTGTAGAGCAAATTGACACATTATCCTGGTTACTTGAGTGTTGTATTTGTGGCTTAGATATGTGTGGCAATTTTTATAATTTGCTATTAGAACAACTCTTAAGTTGCTAAGCTAAAAATAAGATTTATATGTGCCTTTATGAATATTTCGTTTTCTTACATAGTTATGTGTCTTTCTCATTATAAGCTTTATTTGTATAGCTGTTTTATCATTTTCTCCCTGATTTGCTGGGATCATATTGAAGTCCATTGCCTGCATATATCACATTACATAAGGCCGCCTAGAAGACACTACTATCAGCATATTGAGGTGTCCAGAGGGAAGCTGTATTGACGTTTTCATGGGAGAAACACTTCTCACTGCTTGAGCTGCAGCCAGAGTGTGGAGGTTCTGAGGAGGGAAGGCCGTCAGTAGTGTCCACCCTGTGAAACAGAAAGATTTGGTTTCTAGTGGTGACTGTCAAATGAGTGTGTGTGTGTGTGTGTGTGTGTGTGTGTGTGTGTGTGTGTGTGTGTGTGTGTGTGTGTGTTATTTATTTTGAGACAGGGAGGGAGGGAGAAAGAGAAAGAGAGGGAGTATGCCTGAGCTGGGGAGGGGCAGGGAGAGAAAGAGAGAGAGAATCCCAAGCAGGCTCCACGCTGTCAGTGCAGAGCCCTACATGGGACTCTGACCCATAAACCATGAGATCATGACCTGAGCCAAAATCAAGAGTTATTTGCTTAACTGACTGAGCCACCCAGGCACCCCTCAAATGAAATTATTTTTAAATAAGGCTTTTACTCGCAATAAAACAAAAATAGATTTCTCTGTCTTTTAATTCTTTTAAATCAAGAGTGGTTAGTAGAAACCCAAGTCTAAAGGAATTACAAGTCTTTTCTAAAATATTTTTCAATAAACAATACTAAAATATCTACTGTGTTTGTTTTCAGGTCCCTCTAAATGATATGTTTGGTTATTCCACTGAACTTAGGTCATGCACAGAGGTAAGCAGGTGTTTAAACTTTACTTTAGTGTTCTTTAAGAAACCACCCTACACAGCACTCAAATATGTGAAATCTTGTCTTTGCATGACTTTTCCTTGGTAGTTGTACCACAACAAACAAACAAAATCTCTTTTGTTGTTGTTTTAATTTCTTAGGGAAAGGGAGAATACACAATGGAGTACTGCAGATATCAGCCATGTTCACCGGCCACACAAGAAGACCTCATCAATAAGTATTTAGAAGCTACAGGTCAACTTCCTGTAAAAAAAGGAAAAGCCAAGAACTAACTTCCCTCACTTTAAGCTTACTAGCTGTAACTGAATCTGCAAGATTTAGATACTTTAATGGATTCCAGTGGAAAGAACTCATGCTGAAACAAATTTTAGAAGCCCTTCCTATTATATTCAGGAACTTCTGTTATATTCAAAGACAATTCTATGTATATCTCAACTCTGTTGATTGGTTTTATAGTTCATTGAAACACCTCGAATAAAATATGATTATTACTGAAATATATTTAATATTTAAGGGAAGAGACTGATTTCAGTTATACTTCTAAACTTAGAACGGTATGTCAACTTCCTTTCTGAATTTTTTGTCCTAAGAATTTTCAGCATCTAGAAGAGCTAAAACAGTACAAAGAACAGGCCTGTACAATCCATCTAGACCTTATAATAATGAACAACCTTGTTAACAGTTTGTTCATCAAGTAATTATTTTGTCATATTTGCTTTATCTGTTTATATCTCATACCTTTGTATTTAAATTTTTTTAAATTATTGTTTTGCTCTGAACAATAATTTGAAAGTGAATTGCATGTATCATGACACTTCTTGGGGTGTCCTCCTTTAATGAGCAGGCTTTTTTGTGGAAGGCAGCTGTGCTCACCACTGTACCACCAACGCACACTTGAACAAACTTTTTTTGTTTAAGAGTGGATTTCATATGTTCTTAGTAGAGAACATTTCTCAGATTCTTCATGGGAATATTAAAATGGCTAGTAAATTTCTAGCTGTTTTATATATAGGTGATTGCTTCAACTTGTGGCTTCTGCACATTTGTAACTGCCTGTTTTTATGTTAGTTTCTTGTGGACCTTTGAAATGAAAAGCAGATGCTTGCATATTTTATTCTTACCTATTTTAATCTCTCTGAAGCTCTGAATAATAAAATATAATTTACGTAGTTGCTGCCTTGTCAGTTTCATTCACTTGGTAAATGCTAGTTGAATTGGGGTCTGTTGGAATTTATCATATATTGTATTCACTGACATGGTGAAAGAACAAATGTTAAGTTTTTGTTTCTAGAATAGGTGGGACTTTCCCAGACAGTTCTACCATGTTGTTTAGAATTACTTCATCCCCAAATCATCTGATGTGACAGACATATCCTGGTCCTTTCCCTTAGTGGATAATAGAGATAAAATAATTATTTTAAATTCCTTTTTATTCTTGACTTATAGGTTTGGCTTTATAACTTAAGGTTTCTAGAAAAAGATTTTTTCAAGTATTGAGCATGTTTTCAAGGCATCTGCTAAATGCTTTAAATGCACTATCTAATATAGTTTTCACAACCCTATGAAAGTACTGTTACTGTGTCTGTTTTGTAATAGAGGAAGCAAAAACACAGAGAAGGTAAGTAATTCATCTAAAATCACACAGCTTGTTAAATTTTCACGTTGATAAATAGCTGTATTCATCAAACCAAGTTCATTTTCCCTGTGAATATGTGTGTTGCTGTATAGTAGCATCAAGCCTGAATAATACTGTTGCTTTGGCATTTCATCAGCCTCTTGTACTATTAGTGATGACTTTGAAAATTGTTCCCGATGAGGAAATACCTTCCTAGAATTTAGCTCAGTTTCTCTGGCTATTGCCAATAGTTAGGAATATCGGAACTGTGATGGAAAATTTGGATGTGTTTTTAACTTGGTAAACATTCTGCTTATAAAGACAGACCATCAGAAAAGAACCTAGATATTTAATCTAACACCAGCATTTCATAGGCAAAAACACAGGCTGGCTGATGGGAGTAACAAGAGTGGGATCACGTAGGGACAGATGTAGGAACAGAACCTGCATCTCTTGCCATCTCTTGCTAATTAGTTTGGTTAAAATTGGAAGAGACCGCATCCGAACCAAAGTCTGTAGCCAAAAAAAAAAGAGAATATTCATAAATGAGGGTTTTTATCTATTACTCTAATGAAGGATAATTGTTGGCTAATATTTTTTTAATGTTTTATTTGTTTTCTTGAGAGAGAGTGCAAGCCGGGAGGGGCAGAGAGAGAAGGGGACAGAGGATCCGAAGAGGGCGCTGCAAGAAAGACCGTATTACTTGTGTTGGAGACAAGTAACAGCTCTAGGAGTCAGTATTGCAGTGATTCCCAACCCACTAATTCTGACTGCACTTTAAAAGTCACATGGGGAGTTTAAGAAGAAACTCCCATTTCCAGCCCCTAGATACTTGGATCCTTTGGATTCAAGATCTAAAGTTTTCTTTTTTTTTTTTTTCTTTTTTTTTTTTATATTTTGTTAACGTTTATTTATTTTTGAGACAGAGAGAGACAGAGCATGAACGGGGGAGGGGCAGAGAGAGAGGGAGACACAGAATCAGAAGCAGGCTCCAGGCTCTGAGCCATCAGCCCAGAGCCCGACGCGGGGCTCGAACTCACGGACCGTGAGATCGTGACCTGAGCTGAAGTCGGAGGCTTAACCAACTGAGCCACCCAGGCGCCCCAAGATCTAAAGTTTTCCACCTGAGAGGCGCATGGGTGGGTCAGTCAGTTAAGCCTCCAACTTCGGCTTAAGTCATGATCTCATGGCTCAAGGGTTCGAGCCCCGTGTCATGCTCTGTGCTGACAGCTCAGCACCCAACTCTCTCTCTCTCTCTCTCTGTCTCTCAAAAATAAACATTAAAAGTTAAAAAAAAAAATCATTGAAAGTTTTCCACTTGATTCGAATATACAGGAAAGTTTAAAGACCAGTATTTCTTGCACCTCCAAGACATGAAATGGAAGATTTGTTTAGATGTGTTGTATTATTAATGTTCTTTTGTATGATGTTAGAGTTTGGGATATAGGTTCTCAGTTTGATAACTCTACCTTTAAAGACATATGGTCAATTTTCCACCGTTTCTTTCCTCGCTCACTTGTTTAGTTTTAAATTACTAAAATTTTATCAATTCTGAAGTGTTAGACTTTTTCATCTTTAATATTTTTAAAATCCGGATGAGTTTTTAAATTGATGCAAATGGAACGAGACATCCACGAGGTAGTAGTAAATTGTGACATGCAGAAGTATATCCCTTTATAGAAGACACCTATTTGCATTGCTAACACTATAAATTGTTGAATGAGAGCTTTAATTGTTGCTTTTAAAGTGTCTTCAAATAACTAACACTGGAGTGCATCCTTGAAATAGTCTGTTGTATTTACAATTTATTGTGAGCATTCATTCATTCATTTATCCATTCAAATAAGTGCCAGGAAGCAAGTTAGGTGAAAGTATGACTTTGAAAGCTAGGAAAGGTCACAGAACAGGTCATAGAATTTTCTAACCTGAGGGAAACTGGAATAAACTCTTACGTCATGAAGAACTGTCATTCAGGAGCAAATATAGAAACTTCCAACTGACTTTCAGAATGTGTTTCATTTCTAACAATAATCCAGGTAAGAAAAATGAAAGTAGAAGGCAATGGAATGCAGATAAAATCCTGGTATTATTTTGTGTGTCTTAAAATTTTGAAAGTTCTAGAGATAAGGAAAATAAATGTGATGCTGTATATACCTGTTACTGGCTCAGTGACTCGGAAGAATTTAGACTTTTTCTTTTTTTAATTTAAGTTTATTTCTTTTGAGAAAGAGCACAAGTGGGGGAGGGTCAGAGAAGTAGAGACAGAATCCCAAGCAGGCTTTGCAACATCAGTGCAGAGCCTGATACGGGGCTTGAACTAACGAACCGTGAGACCATGACCTGAGCTGAGATTAAGAGTCGGACCCTTAACCAACTTGCACCATCCAGGTGCCCTGGAAGAATTTAGACTCTTAATGAAAAGAAGACTTAGGGATTTTAAGAGTTTTTCATTTTATGTCAAGGCAGATGAAGTAATTTTTCTCTGCAGTTAGCTGACAAAATCAATACTAGTAAAATTTGGTCAGCAATTTAAGATGTTCTAATAGTGATACTAGGAATATTTAGTTGGTTTAAATTTTGGATGTTTTCTAAATTTAGACAATTAGTTGTGTTTGTGTGTTGTCTGTAGAATTCCTCTTCATAATCTGTTATACTGAAATCTGTAAAAGGGTTAAATCTGATTGAATAATGGTCATATTTGTGAGCTTAATCTCACTAATTTAAAAAATGCTTTTATGGGGAAGAGGACTTTGAGATAAGTGAGACTAGAAAGCTGAAAGCCCTTTCTGGCCCTTAATGTGATACTAAAAAGTTGATTAAAGATCACAGGACATTGAATATGCTAGTACTATAATGCTCTCCAGACCTTTTTTGAAGATTACTTAGGGAACTTCAGGTAGAGGTTTTGGTTTTGACTTGGTCTTGTCATGATTTAATCATTGTAGACTGATATTTTATTTTATTTTTTTTAATTTTTTTTAACGTTTATTGATTTTTGAGACAGAGCATGAACAGGGATGGGTCAGAGAGACAGAGGGAGACACAGAATATGAAACAGGCTCCAGGCTCTGAGCTGTCAGCACAGAGCCCGATGTGGGGCTCGAACCCACGAACTGTGAGATCATGACCTGAGCTGAAGTTGGACACTTAACCGACTGAGCCACCCAGGCGCCCCTAGACTGATATTTTAGAAAAGGTCTTTTCTTTGCATTATTATATAGGTGGGAGATCTGGTGTTTCATTTAAATGATTGTTTCCTGTGCTTCAGAATACTTAATGGTTCTTTAAATCAGGCAGATTTTGGGAAGGTGAATACAAAGGATTGGGGTTTAAATAGAAAAACATATAAACTAGATCTAAAAAGTAAAAATACATAAACTAGATCTAAAAAGTAACCATATCATCCTAGTTTTTATTTTGTAATAGTCCATGTCTATAAAATTTTTTGCTTCAGTATAAACTCTTCTAATTTTCTAACAAGGTAGACTTAAAAGTAATATTTTGGTATATTTTAAAGCTGATGCCTCCTACTCAGTTACTCGCCAAGGAACCTGGCTAACAAGTTTTGAGACTGATATAAGCATTCCATTAAATGGCCAAGGGCAGGCCACCCCACAATGTCCCGCTTTGGTATATTGATTATTTTGAATAAAAGTT